ACGAGGCTATAGATCCACTTGTGATTCTTACTAACTTCTCGCTCGCAGTATGCAAAGAATGTTAATACGCAGTTGTTACAGACGAAGTCGCTTTGCATCTGAGAACGCGCCATCCGCTCTTAAAACCAGCAGAGAGGAACAGCATATACGCCTATATAACGGGAATCCACAGAATTATTCGAACTCAGGACCAACTCAGTAACATCCAGTATCCAGTGTTACGGTCAGCTATCCGACAGTAGGGTCTGCTAACAGAAGCTGGGGATTGATACGTTCTAACAGTACACTGGGTCGTGGTCGTAGGTCGTAGTTCGTAGGCTGTAGTAGATCGGGTCTTCAGAGGCTAAGGTGATCAGTCTTAGACTCAACAAGTGATTCGCAGTGAAGGTAAGCTGAGAGTATCCGTGAGGATGAATACTAAGTTGATTGCTGAAGAGCTATGGAAGTCTGACCATGAGCCAGGCTCAGGGTCATACTATATACAAGTTCTGAACAGTACCCCTTGTTTCTTGTTACCGTTCCTAGTCCTGACGGGTTCCGTTCACGCCAAGTGCGGCTTCCGTATTCTTGGCGTACGGATCTAATCTCTTATCTTATCGTCACGTGACTTGTACCATAGTTCTTCCGTTTCCGAGTGAGTCCCTGTTGTTCCCGTGATCCTGCAGTACAAATGTCCTGTCCTAGCCGCCCGACGCCCGAGTGGGTCGTTCAGCTGTTATCCTTGTTTACGGGTCGTAACATCAGGTCCCCTCTCCAAAGGTCTTGTCCTCAAGGCCCAACATAAGTAGGTTGTTGGTCCCAGGTTGGGGATCCGTCAATCGTGCTTCCTGATTTACTCATGATGCTGACACCATGTCAGGTCGCGTTCAAAAATCCAAGTCAGCGCTTCGTTCTGCTTGTGAAGACGTTTTCCATCGCTTCGGTTCTGACGACGTCATGCCTTGTACTCGATGTTTTCGTGCGAAGCGTACGTGTCGCATGGCGGAGGGCGCCAAAACTTGTCAAGGTTGTAAGAACCTGAAGCGTCCTTGTGACGGTCTGGTGGTCGCATCGAGTCGTGAGTTTTTTGTCGTGTCTTGCTGGGTGCGTCTGTGTTGATTGGTCGTAGTGAAGAGGCTAAGCGATCAGCGTCAAGAATGGGAGGAGAAGGAGGAGCAGGCTAGTGATGCCTTGCTGGACCTTCATGAAAAGTTGGCACGGGTTCAGGCCGAGGTGGCTGAAGCGGCTGGTCGGTTATCGCGTATTCGTGCGATTCGTAAGAAGGTTAAGGAGCGTCATATAGAGACGTTTTCTCGGGGTATGCAGGAGTTGGAGGAAGACGATGTTCTTCCTGCCTTGGATGCACATGAGAGTGGCGTGGTGGGCGATCTTCAATCCCTTGGTGTTGAGAATGATCCGGATTGGCAGAGTTTTGGTGTTGGTGAGGAGTTTGCAGATCTTGGTCCCTTGGTCGGTAGTGATCGGTTGGTGTCCTCGGGGGGTTCTTAGTCGTACTCTGGTGTTCCTAGGCGAATGAATGGTTTCCCTTGTCGCGGTCGATCTGCTTCAGTGGGTGGTTTGGTGAAGCGATGTGGGTGTCTGATTCGTTTATATCCAACGTTCTTCTGGGCTAATACAACAGGTGCTGGTGTGACCTCTCGTTCTTGGTGTTGTTGCCAGTAGATCGTGAGTTCTTCTGCTGCGTTGGTGATGTTTTTGGCTGGTTCCCATGTGTTGTCTTCGTGTCCGTATCCTTTCCATTTGACGAGGTATCGATATCCTTCTGGTTCTTTGAGGTGGTCGATAATCCGTTCGACTTCGTACTCTGGTTCGTTATCTTCGACGATGATAATATCGTTTGTCTGTGATCCGCGTGGTGCTGGTTCAAGAAGTGAGACGTGGAATACCGGGTGACACTTCATGGTTTCTGGGAGTCTGAGTTCGTAGTTGACTGGTGAGATTACTCGTGAAATTTTGAAAGGTCCGAGTTTTTTATAGTCGAGTTTGTCGTTTGGTCGCTTTGTTTTGATGTTTCGCCGTATGAGATAGGCGCTATCTCCCTCTTTCAAGGTTGGTCCCTCAATCCTTCGTTTGTTGCTGAATTTTGTCATTCTTTGTCGTACGAATTCGAGTTCCTTGCGTGCGTTTTCCTGGATATCCTTGATTTGGCGTATTGAGGCGACAGCTTTTACTGCAGCTGGGCCTGTTCGGGGTTCTCCATAGGCGGTTGGTTCGAATCCATAGTTGAGGTAGAAGGGGGATTCCTTGGTACTTTCTCCTATTGCGCTGTTGTAGGCGAACTGGGCTATTGGTAGCAATACAACCCAATTGTCTTGGTTGTAGTTGACGTAGGCGCGGAGATATGTTTCGAGGATTTGGTTGATTCGTTCTGTTTGTCCATCGGTCTGCGGGTGGAATGCAGTGGACATTGATTGTTTGATGCCAAGGTGTGACATGATTGATTTCCAAAAGTTGGAGGTGAAGATCTTGTCTCTGTCTGATATAATTTCCTTGGGTGTTCCATGGTTGGCGATGATGTACTTGAGAAATGTGTAGGCGCATTCTTCGGCGTTGCTTGCTTCCTTGTACGGGATGAAGTAGGCATACTTCGTGAGTCGATCCACGATGACAAGAACGCTGTCAAAGTGTGTTCCCGTAAGGGGTTCTCGAGACTTCGGTAATTTGACGATGAAGTCGAGGGATATGGATTGCCAGGCGGTTTGCGGCACAGGCAAGGGTTGTAGCATACCATAAGGTTGATGTCGAGCGGGTTTGCTTTTGAGGCAAACTTCACAATCCTTAATTGCTTTTGCCACTTGTTCTCTGGTGACTTTTTTTTCCATATTGTTGTCGTAGTCGTTTCCAGGTCTTCGTGATTCCTTGGTGACCATGTGCAGGGCGAGCGTGAAACTCCATAATTGCTTCGTCGTCTAGTTCGCTAGGCGGGCTAGTACTAGATCGTCCGGCCATCATCAAGAGTTTGGTTGCTGGCACTAGGTCTCCGTCGTTGTTTCCTTTGAGAATCACCTGGGTTTCTTCAGGTACTGGGACGTTGTAGTCCGGTCGTCGGCTGAGAGCGTCAGCTCTGCCATTGTCTGATCCTTTGCGGTGGATGATTCGGAAGTTGAATTCTGATAGGAATTCTGACCATCTAATCTGTCGTTTATTCAACACTTTTGAAGTCGTGAAGTGTGAAAGGTTCTTGTGGTCTGAATACACAAGTACTTCGTGTGTGGTTCCTGAGAGCTCAGGTCTCCATTCCTTGAAGGCTTCGATGATTGCCATAAGTTCCTTATCGTGAACCTGATAGTTGAGTTCAGGTCCGTGGAGCTTGCGAGAAAAGAAGGCACACGGGTGTAGTCGTCCCTCTGAATCTCGTTGCGATAATTGTGCTCCTATCGCATAGTCGGATGCGTCGGGTTCTACTTCGAATTGTTTTGTTGGATCTGGGATGCTCAAAACGGGTTCGCTGGCGATGAGGTCCTTGATCTTCTGGAATGCTGTTCGTTGTGGTTCTTCCCATATAAAGGGTGTGTCTTTGCGGCTAAGGCTTGTGAGAGCCGCGTTGATCTTGCCATAGTCTTTGATGAATTTGCGGTAGAAGTTGACGAAACCTAAAAATCCTTGGACTTCCTTGAGGTTGTTGGGTACCGGCCATTCCTTGATGGCTTTGACTTTGTTTTCCGACATACAGACTTTTCCAGGGGTGATAGTGAAGCCGAGGTATTCCACCCTCTGTGTGTGGAATTCGCTTTTCTCAGGTTCAACTAATAGCTTGGCTTCTTGGAGGGCTTGTAAGACGTGGTGTACGTCTTCCTTATGTTTCTCAAGTGTCGATGAGAAGATGAGGATGTCGTCGAGATAGACTACTACGCAGATGTCGACGTATTTGCGTAAAACTTGGTTGATCATATTTTGGAATGTTGCCGGGGCGTTGGTGAGGCCGAAGGGCATGACGAGGTACTCGAAATGTCCTTTTCGGGTTCTGAAAGCGGTTTTCCACTCTTCTCCTTGCTTCATTCTGATCAGGTTATAGGCTCCTTTGAGGTCGAGGGCCGTGAACCAGTTGGCTCCATGGAGGAGTCGTCTCATCTCGTCGATGATTGGCAGTGGGTAACGGTTCTTGATCGTCATTTCGTTTAGCATGCGGTAGTCGACGCATAATCGTAGTTTTCCGTTCTTCTTGGGTACGAACAGGATTGGGCTTCCTGCTGGTGACGTTGAGGGTCTGATATATCCCTTCTTGAGATTTTCTTCAAGGTACTTGTCTAGGGCTTCCATCTCTGTCTGGTTGAGTCCGTAGATTTTGTTGAAGCGTGGTTCCTTCCCTTTTTTGAGGGGTATTTCGTGGTTGAAACTGGTGTGTTCGGGCAGTCCGGTTTCTAATTCGGCTGCAAAGAGTTTCTCATACACTCTATATTCTTCTGGGATAGACAGAAGTGGATCGTTCTTCTGTTCAAGATCCATCGTTGTCGGTGGTTGTGATATGGCTTCTTTTGCCTTGAGGTAACAGAGGTATCGTTTTGTTGTTCCTTGTCGTATTGATTCGTTTGAGGCCTGATTCTGACAGGGCTGCTCAGGGACTGAGTCATCGTGGTCCCAATGGAGTTGGCCTTTTCTCCAATCTATCCGTGGGTTGCTTGTTCGTAGCCAGGGTAGTCCTAGCACTATGTCGTATGTTCCTAGATCGGCAATGTCGAATTGGATTCTTTCTTTTCGATTCAGGTAGCTCATCTCGAGGGGCGCAGTCTCATTATAGATGGTACCTCCTTCGTACTTGAATTCTTCTCCTTCTGCCGTGTGTAACTGATATGGTCGTTCTTTTCCTCCCCATCGTATTTCTAGCCTATTGATGGCTCGGGGGGCAATGAAGTTTGCTTCGGCTCCGCTGTCGATCAGCGCGAGTGTTGTCTGCTGATTGATGGTAACTTCGAGTTCGATATTACCCTTATGTCCTTGTGACATTTGATGAATGGATCTTGTGTTTGTTGCCTGTCGTGATCCGTCGTCGGTAGGCGAGTCTAGTTTTTTGACTGCTCTGGTTGTCCTGGGTAGGTGATTCGCTTTCCTTCTCGTCGTGCCTTCGCGAGGCTGTTTTCGCGGGTCCTGACCTGTGGGGGTCTAGGTCCATTCTTTGCGATTCTCCAGGTTCGTGCCTTTTCTTGGTAGTGAACTTGGCATTCGTCTTGTTGGCATTCGTCCCATTTCATGCTGTCGTCATGTTGACATCTCATGGGGAACTGAGGACTAGGTCTGAAGACTGCGAGGTTGTCTTCAACCAGTACCATAGTCCATCCGATCATGACGGAGGTCGAGTAGATCTCGTGGATAGGTTCGTCGTCATGTCTTCTGGGGTAGAACTGGTAGTCGTGCTTTTCTCCCATGTGTTCCTTGCATTTGTCGTGGAAGCACTGGGGCCAGAAGAGGGTTCGGTGAAGCCGGTGGTTGCTTCTCAGCGCGGGATGATCTTCCGTGTGTAGCTGAGGGGTGTAGCTTCGGTCTCGTTGGGCTGCTGAGGTGCCATAGAAGTGGCGTTGTTGCTTGTCTTGAAGCATGTCGATTTTTTGGTATCTCAGAAGTTGCTTGATTCTTCCTTCCTGGTCGTCGGGTTCCTCTTCGGAGCTGGAGTCGTCCATACTAGGGGTGAACCCATAGGTCATCTCTGTCTGAGCGCGTTGTCGGGCAACGTCGCGAGGTTTATCCGAGTCATAGGAAGAGCTTTCTTCTTCTCCGAAAGTCCAGTTGTTGGTCATACTGAGGAGTTGTTGTTCCATCAAAGGATCGTGTTGGTGTTCTGGTTCTTCTTCTGATTCTTGTTGTTGGTATAGTCTTACTTGTCTGTCGTCTTCTTGCTGGATTAGCTCCATTTCCTTCTGGATTTGTTGTTCTTCGTAATGGAGCTGCTGGCGAGTCATGCGGGGGATGATTGGTTCCAATCGCTGAATTCGTAGCATCTCGTTGAGTTGTTCAACTGGTTTTCTAGCCACTTTGCTGTTGCTGGAATGCATCATTGCCAGGGTCCTAGGGCGAGTGTCTGGGATGGTCACATCGTAACCAGATCGTCCAGGGTTGCTGTCCCTTGGGTAGTGTCCTGACATTTCTTTGTCTTCGAGGTGAATTCGGCAGTTGTCATCGTAGCATCCGGTCCACGATTGGGATGCATGTGGGGCTTTTGCAATTGTGTTGACTTGTCGAGGTCGTTCTGCCACTGGTCTCCAGGGAAGCTTCTTAGGCTGTTCGCAGTCTTTGGCGATGTGGCCTTGCTTGTTGCAGTTGTAGCACTTGGGGTTCCAAGGTTTTTTGTTGTTGGGTTTGGTCATCATGCTGAGATCCATAGGTCCGCTGTGTTGTCCATAGGCGGTGCTCTGGCGGGTGTTATTCCAGTTGTTGCGGGGTCTGTTGTCGTTCCGCTGGCTGTTGAACTTCTGTTGAGGCTGCCATTGGTACTTGCGTCCTGAATTCGGGTTTTGTCGTTTCTCTCCTCGTTCCTTCCGTCGTTCATAGAGGCGGTTGTCAACCTTAATAGCATGTTCGACGTAGGCGAGGAAGCTAGGAGGTGTCTCTAGTTTGGCCATTTCGTCTTTGACCTCGTCCTTGAGTCCTTGATAAAAGGCAAAAACTTTGCTTTCGTCGGTCATGTGGAGTCTTGCAGCTAATCGTCTAAACTCTGCGGCGTAGAGCGTAGCTGACTTGGTTTGTCGTAGGTGGGACAGGTCTCGCTCGGCCTGTCTTCGTTCATCGGGGTCAAGGAAGAGAGATTCTAGGGTCTTGACATAGCCTGTGAAGCTGAAGAAGATGTCCTTGACTTCTTGGCTGTATTTTTCGACAGGGTTGTCAAGCCATTCCTGTTGAAGGGGTTCGAACCAGGCAAGGGCTCGTCCCCGAAGGAAGGTGGCTGCGTGTACAACGCGTTCGGTGTCGTTCTGGAAGGTGTTTATGTGGAAGGCCTGGTAGGTTCGAACTTGTACCAGGTGTCCTTTGAGTTGTCCTGGGGTCCCGTCGAAAGTGGAAGGCGTGTTGAGCTTGAGGCGTTCTCGTCCTTCGACTGGGGCGGATATGACGTTGGCGGCAGCTCGGAGGGTGGCGACTTCTTTCTCCAGATCCTGATTCTTGCGGGCTTGTTCCTGGAGTTCGCTAAGGGCCGCGGCGTTCTGGTTGAACATTTCGCGCATTGCCTTGAAGTCGTTGTTGGTCTTGTTGAGCTGGCGCTTGAGTTCTTCGGTGTCGTCCTCGCTGTCTGAGTCGTCCTTCATCTTCTGGTCTCCTAGTTCCTGGGCTAGGTTTTGGGTGGCTCGTCCTCCTGAAGTGGACGAGGATCCCGGGGTAGGCGACTTGGCAGAGGCGCGGGAAGACATTGTCGTTCGTTACTGTTAGTAGGAATCAATGGTCAACTTACTGAACAGGAGCAATCAAAGTGTTACGGTCAGCTATCCGACAGTAGGGTCTGCTAACAGAAGCTGGGGATTGATACGTTCTAACAGTACACTGGGTCGTGGTCGTAGGTCGTAGTTCGTAGGCTGTAGTAGATCGGGTCTTCAGAGGCTAAGGTGATCAGTCTTAGACTCAACAAGTGATTCGCAGTGAAGGTAAGCTGAGAGTATCCGTGAGGATGAATACTAAGTTGATTGCTGAAGAGCTATGGAAGTCTGACCATGAGCCAGGCTCAGGGTCATACTATATACAAGTTCTGAACAGTACCCCTTGTTTCTTGTTACCGTTCCTAGTCCTGACGGGTTCCGTTCACGCCAAGTGCGGCTTCCGTATTCTTGGCGTACGGATCTAATCTCTTATCTTATCGTCACGTGACTTGTACCATAGTTCTTCCGTTTCCGAGTGAGTCCCTGTTGTTCCCGTGATCCTGCAGTACAAATGTCCTGTCCTAGCCGCCCGACGCCCGAGTGGGTCGTTCAGCTGTTATCCTTGTTTACGGGTCGTAACATCCAGCCCCCACAACAGAGCTGATTCCCTATATCGCGCCGCCAGTCACAAACGGAATCTGTTGCAATGCGTACAGTTTCATATGCCAGCAGATTCAAACGATCTAAGCCTATTGCCGCAAGGAATATGGATAGGTTAATACTCAAAAGAGAGGCGGCAATATAAGAGGCTAGGCAAGCAAGGTCAGGAGCATGCCATGGACAGTCGGCGTGTAATATCAGAGATTCTGCGCATCCCAGCGTGGCAAGCGATGGTTTGAGGTGGCCTAGGGACAAACAGCTGATAAGTCTCTATAAAGCGCTCCGAATAGAAGCCCAGCTCAACAGGTGGTGGACTGCGTTTGAGATCTCCAGAAAGTCTAAGCAGAACGTGTGAAGATAAGCCACAACAAGCTGATCTGCATTGCTAACGAAAGACTTAAGCCCAGCCTGTGGCTAGCCTATATAGGATGGGCGGTGCACTTAAAAGGGCTTAGTGCTAGCGTACTCTTCAACATAACAGCTCCTATTAATAAAGATAAGGTTATGCTTCAGGCGATATAGGCGACGGTCGACCGCGTGCTGGACTAGGCTTAAGCAATATCTGCTCCTAATACCGTCAGGCTAGCTGTGCTGTTTGAGGCGCAGCATATAGAAGCGCACGTCAAACCAAGGAGGCTGTTTGACAACCGCATAGAGGACGACATGTGGGCGAGATATAAGGGTGTGTGGCTAAGTCTGTTATGCGTCTGGTTCCACACGCAGGAAATAGACGACGACAAGCAGCTGCTGTATAAACTGACGCCGTCACAGGGAGAGGCGTGGGACTTATTCGAGCAGATGGCAGAAGCAGCCAGCATAGGGACGGGGCATCAAACGCAGGAGAAGCTGGAACGCGCAGCACTCAACATGCTTATCAGCATGCTAGACCACCAGCTGAAGGGTGGAGACTACAGTAGTGCTCTTCTCAGCGCTCTCGCAGTAATAGGGATTGCTGAGAATAGCGGCTAGGTCCAGATCACAGACTATATGATGAAGTACTCAGCTGTTATTAAGATAGCGTATATATTAGTGATCTATTAGGTATATACTGAGCGTAATAATGAGGTTGCTAAGCTGGAAAGGTCTCTAGGGAAAGATGAAGTAGAGGATATAGCGCAGAGTTTATTCCAGCATATGCGGGCGAAAGTGCAGCAGTTTATAACGCGGACGACAAGCGATAAGGATGTGGAGCTGATGCTGATAGACTGGATTCTCAAGATGCAGACGTATAGGATGTATATCTAATATAACACAGCAGCAGCTGGTGTTATCAACTAGGTTGGCGATCGCATATCATATAGGCGGGTATAGTTTACGATAGGGCAGCTGTTGGACGCACTATATAAGCTGGTCTGAGAGATATAGGAACTGCTTGCAGAGCTGACGGCAACAGAGGATTCAGGTTCAGCAGACAGTCTTAAAAGCGATATGCAGTTATAACTGCCAGCTATCCTATGGTTGTTAATTAAAAATAACCACAGCGAGATAAAGCCTAGGTACTTATTTCTCACTAATAACCGCAACAGCTAGGTTTCTGCTAGGGACAGATAGCTGTTTATGCGGCTGGCGTGGTCACCTGCTGCTGCAGAACGGTAGGGACTGAGCAGCAGCTTAGGCAACAGTTGCAGGGCGACAGACCGGCTATTCCAGCCGTCAGCTGTGCAGGAGTTTAGTAGGACGTTTGAACAACTCTGCAAGCGACTGTGGATGCTTCTGCATATGCTCAGCAGACAGCTGGCGCAGGCGAATAAGCTTATAGGTCTATAGACGGTTAACACAGTTAACAGGGGCGTCTGCAATATCATAGTGCACAACAAAATATTATGCTTCATCACAGCATACCACAAAGGATACCAGACGACCAGGCAGGCGAAGGTGATCTACTGATATCTCCTGAGGGAGGTTAGCAAGCTTATTATATAGTATCTTTAGCTTATCTTGCCGTTCTGGCAGGAGGTGCAGGATATTATGCATAAGGCCAGCAGGTACAGCGTGTTTATATAGGCAGATGATATCATCCGGCAGAGGGACTTAGAAGCCAGCAGTGCAGCGGCAGGATCAGAAGAGCAAAGTGGCAATAATATAGATATCAGGGATAGCAATAATCATAGTATAAATAAAGATGAGGCTGGTGATGAGAGCATAAGTGTGGGCGACTGGACGTGGAAAGAGGAGCGAACATGGACGACAGACAGAGCGCAGCAGATTATGCAGCAGACCAGCATAAGACTGCTGGGATGCTGGGTTAATATGAGCATATAGCGACATATCGCTATCAGCATTGCTAACTGCTACTTAAACGAGTCGTTCGGACGGCTGGGCGGAGATGACGCCAGCGTGGGATCAGAAGAGGGGATAGACGAGGTTGAGGACAGCCTGTGGGACTTACAGGCGGGGCACAGCATGCAGATAGCAGGCATAATCTACGCGCGAGAGCTTATGCAGTTCAGCAGCAGTCTCGCGGCGAGGCAGCAACAGTTCTGCTGAGTCAGCTGTTAGTGGCATAGGTTTCTAGGCTTTAGGGCTGAGGATTTAGAGTTGAAATAGGGTTCCACAGGCTGCAAGAGGAAAAAGACGGAGGCATACGAAGGGCCACAGCTTGCAGCTAGGCTCTGACGATTTGAGAAGCTGAGGAGAATCGACTTAGAGGGCCAGCTGCAGCAGATGATAAGGGACGACTCGGCGATATTCTGCGGAAACCAGAGAGAAGCAGTGCTTGCTATTACTAGCAGGCATACGCCGATTATGTAGGTGATAGGGATAGGCGGTGGTAAGAGCGTCTCGTTCATGCTGCTGGCATTCTGCTCGCCAGACGGAGTGATGGTGGTTGTAACGCTGCTGGTAGCGCTGCAGATGGATCTGCATAGGTGATGCGTTAAGGCGGGGATCACTTCGCACGTGTGGCAAAGCCGCAAGAACAACCAGGCAGCATCCATTATCTTTATCACACCTGAGTCGGCCGTCACAAAGGGATTCAGAGACTTTATCGCACGGCTAGAAGGGAGGCAGGCGCTGGACTGCGTCGTCGTGGACGAATGCCACGTCGTGCTCGAAGGATCACAGAGCTTCCAGCTACAGCTCAGAGAGCTTAGAGAGGCGATCCGCGAGTTTGGCGTACAGACGATATACTTGACGGCGACGCTTACGCTAACGGACAAAGCAGCATTCTTCCACGCTATGCGACTGGAGGCCAGCTAGGTGAGGATATTCTAAACAGCAACGACGCGCAAGAATATCTGATACTCTGTCGTCACAGCAAGCGAGAGGGCTAGTGTAGAGGGTGTCAGTGGCGTCAGTAGCGCAGAATAAGACGAAGATAACGCAGAGCTGGCGAAACTTAACGCAGTTGAGGCTAAGGTATGCTAGGTAGCAGTCCAGTAGGTGAATAAGCTTCTGGCTGGCGGCAGGCGAGGCAAGGCCGTCATGTACGCCACGTCGATTGAGCAGGTGGAGCGTCTGGGGTCAGTAGCGCGGCCCCACGGGACGGGTCGGGCCAGGGTAGGGTTAGGCAAAACGAAAAAAAACGGGACATATTTATTGACATTTCAACGAAGCAACACATATATAGGTACACAAGGTATTAAGATGGACAGTTAGATTAATAGATAGTCGTAGCAGCAGTAGTGAACTAGGCTAGCGAAGTTGATAGAGGAACCAGTGCCATGCCATGCCCTCGGGGGCATCAACCAGCTCATGCCCTCGGGGGCATCAACCAGCTCACGCCCTTGGGGGCATAGAAAGTGCCACACCCTCGGGGGCATCAATCAGCTCATGCCCTTGGGGGCATAGAAAGTGCCACGCCCTCGCGGGCATCAACCAGCCGATGCTAGGAAGTTTGATAGCCTCCCATAAAGCTTCGTTCAACAGCGTCCGCTTGGAAAGCGTAAAAGTTTCTATGCTTTTACTTACCTATATCTTCCTTAGCATCGATATCTAGACGCCTAGGCAGGCTAGTCCCACTGCTAACCCCCGCAGGCGCTCAAGTGAAGATGTGCCTACCTGCATGGCTCTCCCAGAGCCTGTATGAGTTGCTACTCAGCCCGGTCCTGTCTATCCCAAGAGGAGGAATACAATCGCTCGAAAGATAGCAAAATCCCTAGAAGGAGGAGGATAGTATAGAGCATAGAACGACAATCCTAGTAAGCATATAGAGCTGGCCAACAGGGAGCACGATATATATAAACAGCCTCAGCAGGAGTAGCAATAGATATATTCACCGATAGATAGATGAACAGATGAATAGAGGAAGAGGAGATTGAGGGTAGAGAAAACGGGGGACGCGTAGGAGATAGAAGAGGGTTAGATATCCTTGGCTATCCACGCGTTTGGTCTAGGCGTGTTTGTCCGCGAGAAGTAAGACCCTGGCCGGAAGCGGACTAATGTATAATGTCGCGTTA